TATTTTTCTTTTACTAAGCTGGAAGGTTCCTTTGAGTTTTTCCAATTAGAATTTAGTATTAACTATATTTTCCTAAGCCCTTTCACCTGTTATGAGGGGGGGAAATACAGTGAGTTAATTTTTGCAATTAGTCTGTAAAGCAGACTTCCATAACCATGGTAGATAAATAGATAAATGTATAGGAAGAGGTAGGTGTATGGATGAATGCATTGTGGGACACATACATAAAGACCACAGAAATAGACTGAAAGAATAATACATAAAGACAATTACAATAAGAGAGACATATCTTTATTAAAAATTGAAGCCTGTAGGGAATAAATACAGTCATTGACATTAGGAATTTAGGGAAATTTGGGATAGCCTCTCATCTTGGGTGTGGTACCTATCTTTGTTCCCAATATGCCAGCCTTTCTGCTCTTCATCCTGACATACTTGCCAATTATGTATCTTGGGGGGAGGTCTCTTCTCTTTAATTAGTTTTCAAAACATATAATAAGAATGTGCCCAACTGGGGGTCTGTGTATGAATGGAAACACATGTATTTACTCTTAACACTTCACGCTCATGCACATGCAGCTCTAACAGTCACACAGGGATCTGAGGGTCAGTGGCTATGACCTCTGAATGTAAGAGCTCTCTCCTTCCCATTTTCTACTTTTCCCAGGAAGAAATCTCTTGTGCTTCTTTAGGGATATGCTCATATTTACTTTCTAATGCTGTTTATCCACAGAGCTGGTTTTGGTGTTGCTAATTTTATCTTATCCTTTCCTCTCATCTTGTTATTCTTTACTGCATATCTATTACTGTTTTGTCATAGAGCCTCATATATTTCCAGTATTTATATAATTTTTGTATTTTTAATAAATATATTCAGTCAGTGGAAGAGCCATAAATATTAACAGAGTATCTTTTGTAATCTCTTTCTTTCTTTTAAATGGTTCTTTCAAGTAGGTCATACAGCAATTTACTATATAATCTTTTTTTACTTACTAATTTGTATTAAAACCCCAGTGAATTATTTATTCTGCTTTTTCAGGACTCAAATTTGCCATAAAGAAATTAGTAAAACAACAGAATTATTCCACTGGAAGTGAATACAATAAATCTAAACACTTCCTAGGTGGTTTTCTATATGATAAAAAGCATTCTTTATTGAGGATGCAAGCATTCTTTCAGGTCTTTATAAAAAGTTTGACCAGAGAGGGTCAGATCCATGAAGACTGCTCTTTGGCTTTGGTTATTTTAGTTTTTTATTATTATTTTAAAAATATTTATTTTGAGACAGAGAGAGAGAGAGAGAGAGAGAGAACATGCGTGCACATATGGAGGAGGGGCAGAGAGAGAGAGGGAGAAAGAACCCCAATGAGGCTCCACCTTGTCAGCACAGAGCTGGACGTGAGGCTTGATCTCACCAACTACGAGATCATAATCTGAGCCAAAATTCAGAGTGGAAAGCTTAACTAACTGAGCCACCCAAGTACCCTAGGCTTTAATTATTTTAAATGCAAGACTCCGTATCTAAAAAACATTAAGACTAGTATTTATTGCTCACTGTCATTCATATTTTTTCCATAGGAAGATATTAACATGCTTAAAATACCCATAATCACCATGACATTTCAATAAAGTATGCAGGTCACAAATATGATTTTTACTGATGGAAAATTAAGGGGCAGAAATGTACAATGAGTCTAAGTCACATACTGAGTATCTTATCTCGTTGAAAAATCATTTCTATTTCAACCAACTTTTAAAATCATGCTTAATTAAGACATCATTTCAACTTTTTTATTCTGTGCAAAGGAAGTAGATATTTGGAGAGGATTTCCTTGCAAACATATTGCTGACAGAAATGTTAATGAATGAAAAAGAGCAATATCTGAGTCCCAGAGTTGAAAGGTGAGGAAAGGGCTTTCTCCACACTGGAGAAAACCAAAGGCAGGTATCAGGCAAAATGTGTGGGAGACACAGATTCTCAGGTTGTGGCTGGTAATGCCCAAAACTACTCCAACCCCCCCCCCAAAAAAAAAAAACCAAAAAGCTAAAGGACGCAGCCCAAGAGTGATTAGTAGATGAACTAGACAAGGCTCCCCAGACCTCCAATGGGTGCCTTCCCATTATCTGGGCCACTAGTTTTGCCAATTCAACTCTAAAATATAAGAGCAATCTTATCTTACACTAGTCCCATGATTTAAATCAATGTAGTTATTTTTACCAGACTGGCAAAGCTTTTATTTGCACATCTTCCACATAGAATTCAATGAAGCTGATATGGCAGTTGTGTGATTTTGTATCCCTTTTATTAGCCTTTGTATATGGTTTTGCTTTTGCCTTAAATACCTTAATCCCTCTGTTCCCCTCAATATTTTCCATTCTTGGAGATCAAGCTCACTTATTACTGCTTTTGGGCTCCCAAGCAGAATCAGACACTCTTCACTCTAGTCCCACATTAGAAACTCACACTGTGAGGGAAAAAAGGCACTGAAAAGGACTATGGGTTTCCAGCTTGGCTTCCACATAAGATGGAGGTAAGCAGAATGTTCTGAACCATACAACCCTCTGGAGGAATGGTAAGAAGTCAAGACATGTGAAGGCTGAATGTGGACCTTAAGATTTTGAGAGGACTCTATCCTCTTTTCTCCCTGTGGGGCTAACCTTACTCCGAAGGCTGCAGCCATCCCCATACCAATGAAAATGGCTGGTCAGTCCAACAGCCTTGTGTCCTAGATGTGTCTATGCCCTCATTCTTATTTTTCCATCACTTGGTAATTATAAAGTCCAATTACTTGACTAATAAAAGGTCATATGGTAATAGGATTCAGAAAAGGTATAAGACTTGTACAAAGAATTTCCATATATTTGGAACCCGGATCCCCTAAATATTAACGTTTTACCATATTTATTCTCTCTATATATACATATATGTGTGTAAACAACATACACAATTTAAAATTTTCTAGCAGCCACATTAAAAAAGCAGGTAAAAATTGTATTGTTTGAAGCCATACTGATTCAACATGTAATCAGTATAAAAATTAAGAATATATTTTTTTCATACTAAGTTTTGGAAATCTAGTATGTATTTTACAGGTACCTTAATTAGGTAGCCACACTTCAAGGGCTCAATAGCCACACACAGTGATGGCTACCTAATAGCACAGAGACAGCGATGATCTTTCAAGCTATGGGATTGGATGAAAGAAAGAGAGCCCAGGACAGGGTTTTGGAGCACTTGAACATTTAGAATTCAAGTTGAAGAAGAGGAGCTGACAAATGAGACAGCAAATGAGAGCCCAGTAGACTAGGAGGGAAACAAGGCAAATGTAGTGTCAGAGGAGGAGACCATCAAGTCCATCAACTGACGCCGAGAAATCAAGTAAGATGAGGACAGAGAAGTGACCAGTTAATTGGGAAGATGGGAGTTGTTAGTCATCTTGGCAAGACAGTTTCATTAGATTGGGGGCTCCTCTTTCAGAACTGAAGAGAGAATGGGAGGTGTAAAGTACAGCTATCTGCAAGGCAACAAGTTCCAAACTAATCTGTCTATGATACTCTCCTCCACTCTCGTCTCTTCTTTTTTTTTTTTTTTTAGATTTGTAGATTTTTTTTCCCCTTTTATTTTTATTATTATTATTTTTTAATGGTTTATTGTCAAGTTGGTTTCCATATAACAGCCAGTGTTCATCCCCACAAGTGCCCTCCTCCATGCTACTCTGGTCTCTTCTTACATTGGAACTCTATTTGGGGCCTATGCTAGAGATCTAGAAGACATTCTCCAGTCCTTCCTTTCTTTCAGACTTCATAGGCTTTTATTCACAAAGTCATCCCCATTACACCTCCTAAATATTTATTGTCTTCTTTCCTCTATTCGTATTTCCCCATTGAAGGCCCTTGCCACCTCTTTCTAATCTTCCCAATACCTAGTAATCCTCACTGTAATTATACCTCTAGGATTGTCACCCTCAAAACTCTTTTTGCAAAGCCTGGAAACACGCATAGAGGGGACGTGGAGACTGAGTGATGTTGCCAGACTGAATTTTTAAAAACATCAATCTTACATTCTTGCTATTCTGCTTGAAATCTTTGCATGGTTCTTCATGGTACAGGTTCAGTGTTCCTACTCTTGAGTCCCTTCTCTCTCAATCCCAAATTAACACACCGCGCGCGCACACACACACACACAGTTCTATTTCATGTTTGCAACTTTATTATCCCTCCTAACCATCCCTCACTTTCTCCCAGTAATCCATTCCCTGAAACCGGCATCACTACTGGCTCATTTTTACCAATACTAGTTTAGATACAACCTTCAAGTAGCTTCAGCATTTCCCACTCCCCCTATGGGCACTTTCTCCAAAGCTAGTTAAACTGTGCACCTGTTCTCCCTTTCCGAAATGTCCTTCTTGGGCATAAGCATAGAAATAAGCATAAAATTCAGTGCTTATTTCAGTCACTGTTCTCATTACATTCGTCCATTCAGCTAGTTTTTTAAAATACCAGTTTTTGTCAATACCTCCAACTAAACCGTAAACACCTTGAAGTCCAAAAGCTTATCTTATGACATTTTGTATTCCCAGTACCTGGCATGTCACGACATATCATCAGGCGCTCAATCAAGTATGTGAGTATTAAGAGCACCCAAAAAGGATGCGGAGAGCAAAGCTGCGAGAAGGGCGGCGCCTCTTTCCGGGTCTCCAGCCCACGTCCGATCCCGCGGGAAGAGCCTGGCGTCCAACTGGATGCAAGTTCCGCCCTTTCTTCCGGTGGAGCTGCGCAGTCTGCAACCAGGGCACGGCCGGAAACACAAAGCGCTGCCGGTTTGTAGAAGGCCGGAGCTGAGCCCCTTACCCAGCCCCCCCCCCCCACCCCTCCCCGGGGAAAGGGACGGTGAAAACTCGCCCTCTCCACCTACCCGGCGAGTTCTGCCCACCACGTGATCAGGACGGCTCACGTGAGCGTAGCTCGGCGTGACCTGCCCTGGTGACACGTGAGCTGTTGCAGTCATGTGAACACATTCTTCGCTCGGCTTTTGGCCGCGGAGCTTTATTTCGGAGTTAGCAGTCTTGCGTCCGTCTCTCCCTGGCTCAATGGGAGAGGACGATGAGGAAGCGCGGGCGCTGCTGGAAGGCAGCCCCGGCGAGGACGGCAGAGGGGCTTCGGCCGTCGCCGCCGTCCCCGGGGCGCTGCCGGCCCTCTGCGACCCTAGTCGCCTGGCGCACCGGCTTTTGGTGCTGTTGCTGATGTGCTTCCTGGGCTTCGGTGAGCCATCTGACTGGGTAGGGTGGGGCTGATAATCAAGAAATTTCCGATTTTTACTCGGAGCCCGGAGATCCGCCCTGAGCTGACAGCCGCCACGCGGCCTCAGCGCGGCTTCTCGTTTCAGCTTCTGAGCTTTTTCCCACCCCACCCCCCACAGCCCCCTCCCGCGACCGCACGCTAGCTCTTCGGCATCTGGCTGGTGGGAGTCGGGGGACTGAACTGGGCGAGTTGTGTCCCACCCTTTGCTCTCCCGAGAAGTCCCAGAGGCTAGCAGCCCGCTCCCTGGGGCCGTAGAAGTGAAGCAATCTCTGTATCGTTAAAGCTCCGTCGTTATTCTTTGTTAAGAAGGGGTTCAGAAAGATTTAACTACCCACTCCTAAGCACCCCCCGCCCCGCGTTTAAGTAAATAACACGTTAGCAGTCTGTTTCCCATCGTCTTTGGGTAAAATAGAGGAGTGTGGCTTGCCGATAGCTTCAGTAGCTGTGTTCTCTTACTCTTCCGCTTTGCCGCTAGTGAAGTAATCCTGCTGGACTGGGGTGGTTAGTCTTGGCGGTATTTGGTTTCGGTTACGAAATCTGAGGGCTCAGAAAGCAGTTTCTTAAGATAGTTCTAAAAACACCTGTTTGGGGGCGCCTGGGTGGCTTAGTCGGTTAAGCGTCCGACTTTCGCTTAGGTCATGATCTCACAGTTCGTGGGTTCGAGCCCCGCGTCGGGCTCTGTGCTGACTGCCAGCTCAGAGCCTGGAGCCTATTTCNCAAATAACTCAGTTGTCAAATTATTTTTGTATCCTGGAGTTGGTGCTTACTAATATTAACCTTTTTGAAAAGGAGATTGAGTTTAAAATGTGGATGCTCTTGGGGCGCCTGGGTGGCTTAGTCGGTTAAGACTTTCGCTTGGGTCATGATCTCGCGGTTCGTGGGTTCGAGCCCCGAGTCGGGCTCTGTGCTGACAGCTAGCTCAGAGCCTGAAGCCTGTTTCAGTCTGTGACTCCCTCTCTCTCTGACCCTCCCCTGCTCACGCTGTCTCTCTCTCTCTCTCTCCTAGAAATAAATAAAACATTAAAAAAATTAAAAAAAAATAAAATAAAAATAAAAACACCTGTTTGTATTCCAGCAACTGATGTATTCAGAAGCATTCTAATGTCAGTTTGTTATGGAAGTAATAATGTGCTTTGCAGGGGGCTGGCTAAAACCAGTGTCATCGACAGGTTTAGAACATTAGTATGGTGGATCACTTGATGCTGCTGCTGGAATACTTAAACAGGCATGAAAGATGGTTTGGTCTTAGTTTCCTTGCAACTCTTTGTGCATCCCTTCCCCTACAATTTGTGGAAAGATGATGCCCATCAAAGCTTTAAAGCATGACATTGGTAGCCTATACAGCAGTTAAAGCAGGAATCACAATTTGCTGAGTTTAGAAACCAAAAACAAGAACTATACAAAACACTTAGAATTGCCCCACTCAAGCAGACATTATTTTTGGTAAATTTTGGTTAACTGCCTGGTTTCAGAAGCCAGATTCATATATTTATAATGATAATTTGCTTTGTTTTGAACTGGTAGCTTCTAATTTGTACTTCTAGAAAGTGAAGAAGTGGGCGCAGTATTATCTTGTAGCCCATTAAAAATCTGTTAGTTATATTACTTTATTTTTATTATTTTAAGTTTATGTATTTTGAAAGAGAGAGCAAGGGGGGTAGAGGCAGGGAGAGAGAGATTGGGAGAGAGAGAATCCCAAGCAGGCAACATCACTAGTGCAGAGCGGGGTGCGGGGCTCAGACTCAAGAACTCTGAGATCAAGACCTGAGCTGAACTCAAGAGTGGGATGCTTAACGATTGAGCCGCCCAGGCGCCCCCCTCTCCCAGTTATATTCCTTCAAATCTGAATGCATGAGTATCAAACCTCTCTACACTGCTGTCTTACCCACACAGACTTTATCATCATGTTTTAACTTAATCTTTTAGAACTCTGTTTCTTCTTCAATCCTGGTGCTTTATTCACTAAATTATTTGATCTCGGGTATTCTGTTTGTAGAGTTAGATTCTTCAAACAGAAAGAGTAGTTAAACTACATTCTTGTGCTCTCATGGTAAGTGGTGACCTCAGGTAACATTATTAGGAAATTGCTGAGGATGTTTATTAAATATCCTGTGTGTGTGTGTGTGTTGGTAGCTTTAAATATGGAAAATGTAGCTGCTTCATGAAGATGCTAAAAAATAATAAACATATGAAAGATAAAAGTAAAATGGAAGAACAATTAGTTCATTAACTTCTTAATCTAAGGTCCCAATATTTGCTATATATGCACATAAGTATTTGTAAATGATTTGGCATGTTTTCTCAGCATTGTTTGGCTACAACTTAAAAAATATTAGTGGAAAGGAAGTGGTCCACATGTCAATCCTCAAGCCCCTCATATAAACGTTGAAAATCACCATTTGAGTAGTATTTGCAGCTTGAAACTTTTACATGGGCAGTATTATCACCTATGAAATATTTGTTGTTCTTTATTCTAGGCAGCTATTTTTGCTATGATAATCCTGCTGCCCTTCAGACTCAAGTGAAACGGGTAAATCGACTTTTCACCTTGTCTCTTTCATTGGCTTTGGCGTAAGTATAGTTGTTGAGGCATGGTCAGGTCTCAGATTGCCTAATCTGAAACATTGTCCATTAAGTTCATGTTAACATCCGTAGTCAAATCCATATGTACCAAGGAGTGTTACTGAGTTGAAATGAGTGGCCACAAAGACTTCATTTATAGCACTTGTGACTTGATACTGTTTTATATTTTAAATAAATAATTAAGTGCTATTTCCACAGAAATGCCAAAAAGTATTAGCAGATTTTTGTTTGCATTTCACTCTCCAGTTGCATAATCATGGCAAATGATTGGGTAGCAATAACTTTTTGCTTTCATAAATATGTCTTTGTTATTTTTCTTTCATTTAAAAATTTTATTCTTTAATATTTATTTTTGAGAGAGAGAGACAGAGCATGAGTCAGAGAGAGACAGAGAGAGAGGGAGACACAGAATCTGAAGCTGTCAGCACAGAGCCTGACGTGGGGCTCTAACTCCTGAGCTGTGAGGTCATGACCTGAGCTGAAGGTGGATGCTTAACTGACTGAGCCACCCAGGCATCCCTGTTCGTTCATATTTTTTTTAAAGATTTATTTATTTATTTATTTGAGAGAGAAAGAGAGCAGAGGAAGAGCAGAGAGAGAGGGAGAGAGACTCCTAAGCAGGCTGCACGCTGTCAACACAGAGGCCGATGTGGGGCTGGAACTTACAAACCGTGAGGTCATGACTCCAGCTGAAACCAAGAGTCAGACACTTAATGGACCAAGCCACCCAGGCACCTAGTTCTTTCATTTTTAAAATTTAAAAATTTTCCTTTTCTTGTGTATTTAACTTTTTAAAATTTATTTATTTATTTTGAGAGACAGAGAGAGAGAGAGCAGGGGAGGGGCAGATAAAGGAGAGAGAGAGAATCCCAAGCAGGGTTCATGCTGTCAGCACAGAGCCTGTTATGGGGCTCAAACTCATGAACTGTGAGATCATGACCTAAGCTGAAACCAAGAATCCGGCATTAAACCGACTGAGCCACCTGGAAGCCCCTATTTTCTTGTGTATTTAGATTTCTCCCTTTGGCCAGGAAGAAATAGATTGGCCCCTCACATTCTAGAATGAAAGGGAAAGAAGGCAGGAGTTAGTTGGGAGAGGTAGGGATAGGCTAAGATAGTCTTTTTCCATGTGTTGGTGGTGGGGGGGGCACCAATGCATATAGTATAATGGGAATAAGAGTGTAGAAGATATAGGCAGATGTAGATGGAGGTGGTCTCAGTAAGGGGGAATCTAATTGACCCTGGACTCCATGAGGCCTCTGAAAAGGCATGTGGACCCAGGAGGTTCCCAGGGAGCCCAGGTATGACCATTTTTTTCTGAGGCAGGGGCCATAGCAGACATGAGATTCTCAAAGCAGTTAGTGACTACAAATGATTAAGAAACTACTGCCCTACACAAAAATAATGTTCTGATTTGTTGCTAAACTTAACTGTTTGGAAAAAAAAAGTTTTATTTTCTTTTCATATAGGATATGCAGGTGAATACCACGAAATTCATGATGCTGTATGCCTGGTATTCTTGGCCCAATGTGGTTTTGAGTTTTTTTGGTGGCTTTTTGATAGACCGAGTATTCGGAATACGGTAAGCTTGAAAAACATTCTCACCTGTGGGTAAAATATTATTAGGAAAGCACAGAATTAGTTAAAATATTTCTAGGAAGAACTGAATAAAATTCTGTATCGACTGTGATTTTATGATTTTTTTATGTTCCTGGAATTGACTTTTGAAACTTGGTTGGTATTTCAGTTAAGATTGGGACTGTACTGCTACTAATGGAATATGGTAACTCAGTTATCTAAAAGTATAAATTTTGTCCTCACTGGGGATCAGGCAAACAAGGTCTGAATCCCATTGCTGCCACTTGCTCCACTTCTTACTGTGAGCTGTCCTAACTTCCTGAGCTTTAGTTTCTTTATTGGTAAAGTATGGGTAGTAATGCCTACTTTACATGGTGGTTATGAGGATTGAAAGAGATAGATGTACGGTATTTGGCTCATACATAGTATTTGCCTTTCCCGTCCCCAGTGAGATTTTCTCTTCTTGCCTTTGGGCATTGAAATTTTTGTGGCCACTTCTGTGGCTGAGGAAGGAATAACATAATAAGCTTTGTCACTTTTCATCTTTATGATTGTGTATATATTGTTAGTGGAGACTTTAAGGGGGATGTAGTCTGGGAATATTTTCAGGAGGCAGAGGGGAAAATGGTCAAGGATCTTTCAACCATGTATGATGGGAAAGGATTGAAGAGAAAGTGTTTAGGTTTGGGGCCTTAAAAATTTTGAAGGATTAAGTATAAAGGAGGAATTAAATTTATTTTGCTTGGTAAAGGGATGGAATTAACTTAAAACTTCAGGGGGACAGATTCCACTTAGTATGATGAAGACTTTGTTTGGTCAAGGTTGATGAGGGGTAGTGAATTGCATTGGGATCATAGCAAGTTTTCCAGTGCTAGAGAACATTCAGTAGAATGTGGGATGGCCATTTCATGAGGATCTTGAGAGGGACTTGAGTTTCAGGAGTATGGTTTCCTCATAGGATCTTTAGGGACTGTTCTAATACTGATGTTTTATTACTCTGGGGAAATGTTAATCAGATATTCAAAGTGCAGAATGTGTGAGTAGGCAGATTTGTAATTGTATTAACTTAACTGATACTTGTCCTTTTAAAAATAGTTATGCTACATGGAATAAATCAGACAGAGAAGGACAAATACCATATGATTTCAATCATGTGGATTCTAAAAAAACAAATAAACAAACCGATGAATAAACAAACTAAAAGCAGAATCTTACCCATACAGAAAACAAACTGATGGTTGCCAGAGGGGAGGGAGATGGAGGGTTGGCCAAAATGGCTTAAAGGGAGTGGGAGATACAGGCTTCTAGTTATGGAATGGATAAGTTACAGGAATAAAAGGCACACCATAGGGTATATAGGCAATGGTATTGTAATAGCAACGCATGGTGACAGATGGCAGCTATATTTGTAGTGAACATAACATAATGTATAAACTTGTGAAATCACTATGTTGTATACCTGGAAGTAATATAACACTGGGTCAACTATACTCAAAAAAAAAAAGCAAAAAGCAAACAAACAAAAACCACAAACAGGAAACAAAATAAAATAAAAATGGTTATCAGGAATTGTAACCACTTAAAATTACTTAATCTTGGAATAAATTCTAAATTATTAATAGTAATTTTATAAAGAATGTCCATTTTTAAGTGGGAACCCTGAGAACTTCTTAAAGATTATTTAACAAGTTTTGTTTAAGGGATGATAATGGTTTAAACTAATATGCCATTGCTAAAGCTTCTGGAATCTCCTTACAAGTCAAGACTTGCGTAGATTAGCATTTAGCCTGGGAAAGCTACTGATTTTAGGGACAGATCAGCACTTTGTTTTTCTTTCCTTAGAGGGAATGGATGGGGATAAAGAAAACTGAAGTAGATTATTACTGAAGGACTTGGTGACAGACTCTTAATTCATTCTCTTTCTTTCTCTAACAGATGGGGCACCATTATTTTTAGCTGCTTTGTTTGCATTGGACAGGTAAGAAAATCCAAAGCATTCAGTGATTATGTAACAGTGACTTCTTGTCTAATTCTACCAGAAAAATGTGTTTATTGAAGGCCTGCCTTAATTAAACAGGGTCCAGAAATACCCATGTAGCATAATGCATGGTCCCTTTTAAGCCTTGAGCTACATGAACATTAATATTTAAATTTCACATATTTACTGAGAAGGGATGTTAAAACCATTATAGAAGTTGTTATTGATTTGTAAATTATTTATTTCTCTTGAATACTTGAAATTCACTTTTTCATTGATTCTACATTATATTCTAAATTGTAGGTAGTTTTTGCTCTGGGTGGAATATTTAATGCTTTTTGGCTGATGGAATTTGGAAGGTTTGTGTTTGGGTAAGTTATATATTAATTTCATTCATTCTAATGTATTATTGTTCGTGTGTTCATCTATCAATTTATTTAAGATTTTTAAAAAATCTATTATTTTCTCTTCTGGAGAATTACATCAATTCCTCAAAATCTAGCTACATATATCAGAACTGTTTATTGTCTTTTCCTTTAAGGAACAATTTTGAGTGGTCATAGTTAACTCTCTTCGCTGTTTGGATATTAAATAGTTCTCTATAAATAATATTTTTCTTTGGTGTTTTGTTTTTTTGTTGTATTGAAGACGGATTTAAGCATCATTTAGAAAAGTATAGACATCAATTTGTAGGCTGGTGATTTTGCTGTTTCTTAGTGGATAATGTGCACGTCCTTTTGAATCCTGTTAAAGAGGCTTGAATGAGCAAAATACCGATAGATTGATTACTCTTTATGAATTTCAGTGTCTATTCAGTAAGTCCATTCTGAGTCCAGCCTTGGTCTTCCTGCCCTGAGAGATGCTGATGACATAACTTATTTAAGCTTTTTTAGAAGTACTGGAGACATGTAGACATATGTGGCATACTCCACCAAGTGCTCTAAGTGAGAGAGAAGGAAATAAAATGTATATAAAAATTTGAAAGGGATTCAGAGATGAAAGTGTGGACAGAAACAGCCTCAGAGATGAAGGATGTTTGGGCTGATTAGTATAGGATTTGGATTAGTAGAAAAGAGGGGGAATATTTTTGGATTAGGACAAAGCGAGGAGGGTTCAGTATTAGGATATGGAGGAGAATCTCCTAAGTGAAAGCCTAGAGGGGAGTGGTCAATATGTAGAATTTATAGAAGGCAAGTTAAAACCCAGGAAATAGGAAAATGTCAAATATGAAAGGGATTGGCCTGAAAAATGAATTTTTATATTTTTACAAGTGTGAACCACTCTTCCCACATAGACATTTTTTATAGTGTAGGTAATAATGTAATCCAGACTCTTTTATTACAGGTCATGGTTTTTATGGCAGCACACCACATTCCCCAAAATTTAGCAGTGTCATACAGCAGTTACAATGTGCATGTGGACGTTGTTGGATCAGGAATTTGGACAGGGTACAGCATGGATGGCTTGTCTATGCGCCTGATGTCTGGAGCCTCAGCTCGAAACATTCATGCAAAGTTGGGGATTGGAATCATCTGAAATCTTGTTGACTCACACATCTGGTTCCGGTGTTGGGATGACTTGAAGACTAGTACTACTGGATGGAGTGCCTACATGCGGCCTCTCCATGTGGCTTGGCTTCCCCATAGCGTGGCGTACTGAGGGTAGTTGGACTTTTTACCAGGTGGTTCAGGGCCTCCAAGTGTGAGTGAAAAGGCAGATGTCACCTTTGATAACACAGCACCATTTCCACCATTATTATGTTGGTTGAAGCAGTCTGAAGCTCACCTAGATTCAGGAGTGGGAACGTAGATCCCATCTTCTAATACGAAGGTTGTCAAAAATTTAAACTTGTATTGTTCACTGTGGTATTTCTGTAAAAGCTGTGACTTTTCTTCCTTTCCTCATTTTTAGGATTGGTGGGGAGTCCTTAGCAGTTGCCCAAAATACATATACTGTGAGTTGGTTTAAAGGCAAAGAATTAAACTTGGTGTTTGGACTCCAACTTAGCATGGCTAGAATTGTAAGTATGACAAAGTAATAAAGCCAAATGGGAAGCAAGAGATTAATCTTGTAGTTATCTTTAAAAGTTTTTTTTTTTTTAGGGGTGCCTGGATGGCTCAGTTGGTTAAGCATCTGACATCAGCCCAGGTCATGATCTCACAGTTTGTGAGTTTGAGCCCTGTGTCGGGCTCTGTGCTGACAGCTCAGCCTGGAGCCTGCTTCCAGTTCTGTATCTCCCTCTCTCTCTGCCGCTCCCCTACGTACACCATCAAAAATAAATAAATGTTAAGAAAATTTTTTAAAGTTTTTTTTAAATGTTTATTTATTTTTGAGACAGAGAGAGTATGAACAGGTGAGGAGCAGAGAGAGGAGACACAGAATCTGAAACAGGCTCTAGGCTCAGAGCTGTCAGCACAAAACCTGATGCGAGGCTCGAACCCACAAACCGCGAGATCATGTCTTGAGCCAAAATTGGATGCGTAACCAACTGAGCCACCCAGGCGCCCCTAAAAAAAGGTTTTTTTAATGTTTATTTATTTTTGAGAGAGAGAGAGAGACAGTGTGTGAGTGGGGGAGGGGCAGAGCGAGGGAGACATAGAACCCAAAGCAGGCTTCAGGCTCTGAGCTGTCAGCAGAGTCCGATGTGGGGCTGGAACTCATGAACTGCGAGATCATGAGCTGAGCTGAAGTCTGACAGTTAATCGACTGAGCCACTGAAGCGCCCCTGTAGTTATCTCTTAAAAATAACAGGATGAAGTATATTTTTGTTTGATAAAGTAGGTATTGATTTTTTATATATCTCTAGACCACAGAATAGCATTTACCTTCCTTTAATTAAGGCATTCCTACCTTTATTTCACTTAGGAAACATTTTAAAAAGACAAACTGAGCTTTCATTAGTTCAAAGAATCTGAGCCTTGGGAAGGATCTTACAGGTTTTGTTATCTAATTTCTTTGCCCACTTTCAGCATCCCTGCTATGAAAGTCTTCACATATGGCCATCTAGACTCTCCTTGCACATTTCCAGTGATTGGAAGCTCTCTCTGTGATAGGGCAACTCATCTACTTCAGTTAACTTTACAGTTCAGTCTCACATAGAGATGAAATCTGCCTCCACAAGTATTTTCTGATTGCTCCCATTTTTGCGATCCAGTTAACGTTTATTTCCTCCACTACACCAGCGCTTTGCTTGTAAAGATGGCTTATAAATTCTTGGTCGGACATGCTCATTTCCTGTGGTCGTCTAAGCCATGTGACATGGGTTTCAGCTCCCTGACTATGGTGCTCTGGCCTGCCTGGGCTTCCTGCAGGTGGTCACTACTTTTCCCAGCATTTGAAACCTGGAAATGTTCATGGTGTTTCCAGTTTGGTTTGGTAGGAAACAACATTATACTTTTATTAGTGCAACCTGTAAGGTATTTGGCAATCCCAAACTCCGTTACATTTTTTTTTCCTCACAAACTCCTATGAATGGAGATTTAAAAAAACAAAAAATCCTTGCCATTGGAAATCAGGGTTCAAAAGACCAAGGTTCCAAAATGGCATGAAAATGCTTGTAATATATTCTTAGGAAAGAAGAAATTCAGAACAACAAGTTTTTTAACATATTATTTCATTATATGAAGTATATGGCATATATGTGTCATCTATAGAACATTTTTGCGGGTCTTGTACATGCAGTTCTTTCTAATTTTTCACGATTATAAACAGTGCTGCTGTTGTGTGACATTCTGCAAAACTTGCCTGCGTCTCTGGTTGTTTCCTGAGGCTAGGTTGCTGGGAATGAAATTGAGTCTAGAGGATTTGTTAGGGTTTGTATAATAATATTCCCATATTATCCTCGCAGCAATATTTACACCCCCTTCTGTGGGATATGGAAGGATCCTTTTTATTATAGCTTTGATAGTACAGACTATTATTACATTAAAAAAAGTCATTTTAGGGGTGTCTGGGTGGCTCAATTGATTGAGCGTGTGATACTGGTTCAGGTCATGATCTCATGATTTGTGAGTTCCAGCCCCGCAGTGGGCTTCCTGCTGCAGCTCAGAGCCTGCTTCAGATCTTCTAGTCCTGTCTCTCTCTGTCCCTCCCCTGCTCCCACTCTCAAAAATGAATAAAACATTAAAATTTTTTTTTTAAAAAGTCATTTTATCAAATTGATTAGAAACACTTAAATATTACTTTAATTTGTAATTTTAGCTAGTGTGATTTCCTATATTGTCTAAATTTTATCCACAAGAATATTCTGAGTACTTGATTATGTATCTTGTGCAAGTCCAGATACGTCTGTGGCAGATTGTGAGTCTTGTTGTGTAATAACTTATCAAACAAGGATGTAAGATGCAATCCTGGCAACACCAGTGTTGTCACTAGTGAGTTTCAGGTTCTTTTCTGTGAGGTCACAAATTAGCTCTAATCCATTCACTTGCAGTCTCCGCCTCCCCCCCCCCCCCCCCCAAGCTGCATTCTGAGGAGCCCCAGGTTTCTGGAAAGGAATCTCTGGGGCTTCTAGGATGCAAGGTGGGGATTTTTGGGGTAATGGGGGGAGCTGAGGAGGAGGTGGAATAAGCGAGACCTCAAGCAGGCACCTCTTCAGCCAGGGTGGCTCAACTTTGAGCTGATTTCTGTGCTTAAGATCCTCGTGAGATGCACAAAACCAAAGGATTCCATTACAGAGCTGTTGGGGTAGATGGGGTTTTGGTGTTTTTGCACTTGCCTGGTCCTCATGCATATTCAAAATGGTCAGAGAGGTTCTGGCTTTACATCTCCTTTTCTGTAGCCTGCGCTATGAGTTTGTCTGATTTTGGACGCTTGATCTGTTACCATTATGCCTTCAGGCAGTGAAAGTGCCTTCTCACTTTTATTATCTATCTCTTACTGGGGGGTTGGGAGTCCAGCACCCTTTTGATTTTCATTTGTAATGTGTTTTAAACTTATTATTTCAACAGATATTTATTACTTGTTAAGCCATGTCGTGTTAAGCATTTTAGAATTAAAGGTTTATTAAGGTGACATCCCTATTTTTGAGAAGCTTTTATTTCCAATGATAATGAGGAAAATTTCTAGTTTTATACCTTATTGCTCCATTTATACGTTATTGCTCATTTGAGTAATGCCATAGGCTAGCATTTTGTAGGAAGTAGCCATCTGTGGGGCACCTGGGTGGTGCAGGTGGTTGAACGCTCTACTCTTCATCTTGGATCTCACGGTTCGTGAGTTTGAGCCCTGTGTTGGGCTCTGTGCTGACAGCGTGGAGCCTGCTTGGGGTTATGCCCCTCTCCTGCTTATGCCCTGTCTGTCTGTCTCTCTCTCAAAATAAATAAACTTTAAAAAATATTAAAAAAAAAAAGCCATGTGAAGTTTGCTATCGTGTTTACTGTGAGAATATTGTTGAGGACATGTTCATTTCTCAGTCTTCAGTGTCTGCCCTATCGATTGCATTTAAAACAGCTAACTTTTGGGGCACCTGGGTGGCTCAGTCGGTTCAGCATCCGACTTTGGCTCAGGTCAGATCTCACGGTTTGTGGGTTTGAACCCTGCATTGGGCTCTGTGCTGACAGCTCAGAGCCTGGAGCCTGTTTCAGATTCTGTGTCTCCCTCTCTCTCTGCCCCTTCCCGACTCATACTCTTGTTTCTCTCTGTCTGAAAAATAAATAAACTATAAAAAAATAAATAAATAAAACAGCTAACATTCCCCTTACCTTGATTTCTTCTCTTTTGTTCCAGGACACTGCGTGCTTTCCCTCTTGCCTTCCTATCTCCTCCTTCTGCTTGTTTTGCTGATTCCTTCTCGGTCTTCTCAACTTGTAAATACGGGAGTGCCCCAGGGCTTGGTTATTAGACATCTTCTCTTTTCTTTTGACACTTCCTTGGTGATCTTGTCTAGTTTTGAACTTTTTAAAATACAAACAATAGCATTTATTTACCATTTAAAATTATTTTTAAGAATATAATTTATTATCAGATTGGGTAACATACAGTGTGTGCAATGTGCTCTTGGTTTTGGGGGTAGATTCCTGTGATTCATCACTTACATACCGCACCCAGTGCTCATCCCAACAGGTGACCTCCTCAATGCCCATCACCCATTTTCTCTGCTCCCCACCCCCATCAACCCTCAGTTTATTCTCTGTATTTTAGAGTCTCTTATCGTTTGCCTAGTTTTGAACTTTTAAATAGTGTGTCTTTGCTCCTGAATTCATATCATTGTCCAGGCCTTTCCCCTGAATCCCACACCCCTATATGCAACTTCCTATTTGACATTTTCATTTAGATGTCTAGTAGACATGTCAAACCCAGCTCTTGCTTTTCTACCTACTATCCCCCACACCAGCTTATGCTGTAGTTTTCTCATCCTCAGTTATGGGCCGCTCTTTTCTTCCAATTGCTTGGGCAAAACCTTGGGTGTTATCTTTAAAATTTTTTTCTAAATGTTTATTTATTTATTGAGAGAGAGGGGGAGACAGAGTGCAAGCAGGGGAGGGGCAGAGAGAGAGGGAGACACAGAATCCGAAGCAGGCTCCAGGCTTCGAGCTGTCAGCATGGAGTCTGATGAGAGGCTTGAACTCACAAACTATGAGATCATGACCTGAACCGAAGTCGGACACTTAACTGACTGAGCCACCCAGGCATCTCCTTAGGTGTTGTCTTAAATTACTCCTTCTCCTCCAACACACATTTTCTATTGTCAAACCCTGTTAGCTTTACCATCAAAATACATCTATTTTCTGACCACTTCTCACCATGCCCACTGCTATACACCTAGTCACAAGACCCATCATCTCCATTCTGAATTATTGCACTAGCTCCCTAACGCCTGTCCTTGCTTCTGCCTTCATCACCACTTGTAGTCTCTTTTGAATATAATAGCCAGAGCAAGTCTGTGAAAGTGTATGTAATCCTGCCACTTCTCTACTCAAAACCCCAGTGGCTTCCCATCTCACATAGAATAAAAGCCAGAAGTCCTTATTATAGCTGATAACCTGTCTCCCCCCAGTTTCCTCTCCAGGGATGTCCTCTCATTTTCTGTCTTGTTCACTTACACTGTTCTAGTCCCTGCCCTTCCTGTTGTTCCTTGAGCACGCCGTGTGCACTTACTGGCTATTCCTTCTGCCTGAATACGCTGTCCCTCCCCGGTTCACCTGACAGCTAGCTTCCTTCAAGTTTTTACTCAAAGGCACAGTCTCAGTGAGATTTATGTATGTTCTCCTTCCCTGCTTTGTTTTTTTCCTTATTTTTAAAACTATGTATCACAATTTAATATGCTACATATTCTATCTCTTCTACCCCACTGAAATGTAAGCTTTATGAGAGCTGGAGATTTTTCTGTTTTGTTCTTTGTTATATTCCCAGTATCTAGAACAGTGACTGGTTCAATCAGGGCTCAGTAATTGCTGATTGAAGAAGTGAATGAAGATGATTTTTTCTATATTTTTATATTTCTATAATCTTTACTGTCTCTTTATGGACAGGATGATTTTTTTTAAGGTGTCAATATCAGCAAAAGCTGTGCTTTTTCTGAGCTAAAGTTTATTTTATTCTTAGGTACCCTATGAATTTTGTCACTCATTGTGTTTCATTTTTGCTTTGGCTGCTAGGAAATTCTAAATGTATTGTGCTGTTTTCAATACTTGCATTTTTTTATAAACTGGCATTTTTTGGGTGCAGTAATCTTATCTATGATTTTATCTTAGTTTTTTCCTAGTAATGTTTAAAAAAATCTCTTATTTAATCTGAATCCTGTTGTATCTGTGTCTCCAGCCACCTCACATCCTTTTTGAACAGAGTATATACAAATCAAAATTATATACTTTTTCCCTTTTCTTTCAGGGAAGTACAGTAAACATGAACCTCATGGGATGGCTGTATTCTAAGGTTGAAGCTTCGTTGGGTTCTGCTGGTCACACAACTCTTGGGGTCACACTTCTGATTGGTGAGTGGATCCTGATGTCCCACATTTTGCGTCTTCTGAAAGCATCTCATAGAACGTATGGTTGTAGAGAGGGAAGAACACTGGACTCGGGGTTGGACCACTTTGGTGATAGTTTTTCCTGAGAAGTTCCCTGGTTCTTGGACCTAATTAGAAATAGTGAATCCTTCACCCTTTCCATTTACTTAAAATGGAGAATCTTGGCCCACTTTATCTACTTGAGCATTGTCAGGCTGAGCAAATAAGAGAGTGTGTCTGAAAACACTGGAAACAGAGACTTTATACATGTAGAGTGTTACTAGTCCATAGCAGAGAGATTATGATTTCCTTTTGATCAAATTCAGTTGTATACCTACGGAGCTAAGATTTTATAGAAGTCAGAGGTGACACCATATTTCCACTAAGTTGGGAGTCAGGAGTCTGGGTTCTAGCCCTGGCTCGAACTAGTTCTGTCATCTTGGACAAGGAAGTTAAACTTTGTGTCTCTGTTTTCTTTTCTGTAAAATTTCAGGTGTTTGACCAAAACTGTATAGGTCTCTTCTGGCCCTAAGTTCTGTTAGCTAAGGCTTGGGTTGTACTGATTGCTTGGTGGGTCACTGGGAAACATATGAGGCCTTCTGGAGTTACCACCTGTGCTTTTTCTCTGAGCAGAGCCCCGTGGTGGGTAACAGGGCCACTGTAGAGCCCTACAAAGACCTGTGGGATGGGGAGGTGAACATTCTGTGCCACCTTTTATTCCTTACAATTCCTTGATGATAGCTTGGTGGAGAAAGGGCAGTGGAGAGGAAATCTTGGACATGCAGCTCGTATCGAGGGATTCCTGTGTTCCTCCCGGCATTCTAAAATCCCTTGCCTTATTTAAAACCTCTTTCTTACTCTCAGATGCTCTTCAGGATTCCTTCTAGTCCTCTTCACAATGGAGAATATGAGAATTTTAAAGACTTTTAAGCCAGAAAGGATCTGAGCCATCAATTCAAAGCCTCTAATTTTACAGATAGAAGTTGAAACTCTGAGAGATTAAGTTCTGTGTTCAAGATCATTCAGCTTGTTAGTGGCAGAAGTAGAACCCACACCTACTGACTCTCATTTTAGCAGTTTTCAGCTAGACTACATTATTAATTTAAAGATTCATTTATTTTACTGATCTTCTTTTTAAAAGTCTTGGGAAGTCTAAAGTTTATTCACTCTTTATTCTGATTTGCTTAAATAATACGAGATTAGTATTTAGCGAGTAATGGTGAATATGAAAAGGAAAGAGAGCCTGGGTGAGCTGTGCTGTGGGGAGGGTGGGACCCTTTGGGCTGCCAGAGGGTAGGAAGGCTCAAGGGTTACAGACTTTGGGAAGAAATCTAGAGGAAGATGAGATGATCACAGAATCAGACTTTGCTTTTATAATTTTTCCCTCTGGCATCTGTCAATAATTAGTGTTTAGACGGAGATAAGAAATGAGTACTGATTTGCTAGTGGGTCATCCACTTTCTTAAGTCTGTATTCTGCTTTATCAGCCTAGATTAGATTAGTATGTTCTAGTCTTTCCAGTCTAGTCTCCAACCTTCTATTGGGAAATAATATAGTAAGAGTGATTGTTGTTTCTTGAGTTCTTACCACATGTTATTCCTTTTTTTCTGTCCTGATTTAGTATTGTAGGGTCTTCTTAAATGAATCTAGATGCCATCCTTTCAGTTGCTAAGTTTTCTGCTGTTGTGTAAGGTGCTGCCTCTTAGGAACCTTCAGTCTGATTCTCTTTTAAAAACCTTTCTTTAAATTTTTTTTTTTTTTTTTTTTTTAATTATAGGAGGCATAACATGTATTCTTTCACTAATCTGTGCCTTGGTTCTCGCTTACTTGGATCAGAGAGCAGAAAGAATCCTTCACAAAGAACAAGGAAAAACAGGTTGGTCTAAATGCAAGAAAAGTGGGGCTTTGGGAATTGCAGACCTTGGAGGATAATTTACAAGATAAGTTCTTAATGTAATGTCATAAGCCCAGTGAGGCTTAATACATGTTTTTTTTTTTTTTTTTTTACCCCTCATCTTTACCAACCTATTTCTACTTGTCTAAATTTTGGGGTACATTTTTTTTCTCTTAAGCACTGACAGCATTTATATTCTTGTATTTAAATGCAAAATGATGAGTGTTCCTGGAAGAGAACAGGAAAGTGGACACTGATATTAGATTTTGCTTTTTCTAATATCTTCTTAAGTTTTCCCAGAAGCTATGTTACTGTAATTTACTGAGAAAAGTATTTTGTAAAGTGAATGGTAGAGGTTAATCACATGATAAAAGAAAAATAGTCTTGACTTAGATATGCAAAATTATGCTGATAGTTTCTTCCCTTTCTTTTTAAGGTGAAGTTATTAAGTTAACTGATGTGAAGGACTTTTCCTTACCCCTGTGGCTGATATTTGTCATCTGTGTCTGCTATTACGTGTCAGTGTTCCCCTTCATTGGACTTGGGAAGTGAGTATTCTCTAGCATTCCATTTTTGTTGACTAAATTATAATGAGAATGTAATCACATAAATGTTAGTTTTTTTGCTATGAACAGGAATTGTTTTACATCCTGACATACAATGGATTTTCTTAGCTTAGTTAAGATTTAGTATTTGGCTGAGCCTAAGTGTCCATCAACAGATGAATGGGTCAAGAAGATGTGGTTTATCTATACCATGGAATACTACATGGCAATGAGAAAAAATGAAATCTGGCCATGTGTAGCAACATGGATGGACCTTGAGGGTGTTATGCTGAGAGAAATAAGTCAGGCAGAGAAGGACAAATAACATATGTTTGCACGTATAGGAGGATTAGGAGGAACTTGATGGAGGAACAAGGGGGAGAAGAAGGGGGGAAATGGTGGGGGAAAGGGAGAGAGGCAAACCATGAGAGACTCTTGAATGCTGACAAAAACTGCGGACTGATGGATGTAGAGGGGAGGGGGGATGGGCATGGAGGAGGACACATGTGGGGAAGAGCACTGAGTGTTATGTGGAAACTAATTTGACAATAAACTATTTGTAAAAAAATAAAAAATTAAATAAAATTTAAAAAAAAGATTTAATATTTGGCTTAGTACTTTTCATTATTTTTTTGATGAAATACCTAATAACAGTTTTTGATTCATAATATAGCTTTATTTTAATGCTTTATATTGGATTAGGATTCTTTTTTAGTTCCTCTCTATTCCTTTGTTTGGAAGCTGCTTCTTGAAAAAGGAAACAGTGCTTTGGCTCGTTGTGCCTGGCCACAGTTCCATTTGCTAGGATTATAATTATGCCAGGGTTCAAAATCTTTTTTTTTTTTTTTTTTTTTTGCTGTATCACCTGCCTCTCCCTTTACATTGGCAGCTGCTTAAACAGAGCAGTATTATGAGTGTCTTTGTACTGAGTGTCTTTGTAATCAGAGCCTTTAAATTCAGACTCTTTATGTGACTTTGAGACAAGAGCCCTGGGCACAGAACCTACCCAGTCCCACTTTAAGGGAAAGAAGCATTCTTAATTTCATGTAGTAATATATTTGGTTTTCTGAAAACTTATGTGTACTGTTTGCTGTATATTTAAAATGAAAAAAAAATTGGGGGTGCCTGGATGGCTTAGTCAGTTAAGCATCTGACTTCAGCTCAGATCATCATCTCCCGGTCTGTGAGTTGGAGTTCTGCATCGGGCTTTGTGCTAACAGCTCAGAGCCTGGAGCCTGCTTCAGATTCTGTGTCTCCTCTCCTGCCCCTCTCTGGCTCATGCTTAGTCTCTCTCTCTCTCTCTCAAAAATAAAATAAACATTAACAAATTTTTTAAAATAAAAAAATGAAAAATATTGGGGCGCCTATGAGGCTCAGTTGGTTAAGCATCTGACTTCGGCTCAGGTCATGATCTCGCAGTTCATGAGTTCTCTGCTATCAGCACAGAGCCTGCTTCACATCCTCTGTCTCCTCGCTTTTCTTTGCCCCTCCTCCACTGGTTCTCTCTCTCTTTCAAAATAAATACACTTAAAAAATGGTAAGTAAATAAAATAAAATGAAAAAATTGACATCAGTATATTTTATTTAGTTAGTGAAGTATTTATATAAATACTAAAGCTTTAGGTCCAGTTGTTTGAAGGTAATGTTAAATAAGATGGGAAAGCAGTATCAAGAAGGAAAAGTTGGCTAAACTTAAGAGTTGTTTTTATTTAGTTTTAATTATCGAAAACAGAATAGGTTGCTCTAAAATGCTTATTTTTTTTTCTCTCTCTCTCTTTTATTTTAGAGTTTTCTTTACAGAGAAATTTGGATTTTCTTCCCAGGCAGCAAGTGCTATTAACAGGTATTTCATTAATTCTGTAAGTGCTTATTGTGTGTTTAGTGTGGGTCTATAATTATAACCAAATGTTCTATGAGACAAAGACATGCAACTTAACATCCGTATGTGTAACCAAGATTATGTTGGTACTTGATCCTGAGAGGCCATCTTTGCATTAATGGAAAGCCGAAGTCTTGGACCACCCTTTATATCTTTAAATTTCTGTTGATGACCATTTTAGAAGAATGCTAAATAAAATGCTAAATGAAATGAACTACGATTTGGTTTGCCTAGTGGTTTTAGGGACTTTTTGGATGTCATACATTTCACTAAAGATCTTTCATATTCTCTGGACAGTATCGTGTATGTCATATCAGCTCCGACGTCCCCAATATTTGGGATCCTGGTGGATAAAACAGGGAAGAACATCATCTGGGTTTTGTGTGCAGTGGTTACCACTCTTGCTGCCCACATCTTGCTGGCCTTCACACTGTGGAATCCTTGGATTGCTATGGTAAAATCACTGTTGATGTTTGTGGGGCTCAGGGCTTTAGAGAAGACTCTGTACAGTACAGGTGCAGAGCCACACTCAGCTTCTCTGACAGCAGAGCTTATGACAGTGGGAAGAACCATGCCTTGGTTTTAATTTCTACAAAATAACTATTTCTAAAGTAAATATTAATTATTAGTACATAAGGCATTTTTAACTTTATTTGGCTTATTTAATAGTAATCTCCGTGCTGAAATCAAATTTGAAATAAATTAGTCTTATAAAAGCTAAAATGCTTATTGGTTCCATTTATTTTTCTGTACTTTCATCATAGGTGGCAAAAAAACAGACAAAAAACAAAAAAAACCCAAAAACCTCATTAGCCCAGGATTCATGATTTTGCTTTCTTTTGTCTTTAACTTATAGAAGGTTAAAAAGTGATAACAAATTCATCAGGGTTTTATTATTGTTCTTTAGAATGTCATTTTAAAGACCACAGACTTAAGTGCTGCATTTCTTACTTATTAATAAAAGAATATCTTGAGCATATATGTTTGCACTCTTAGATTTCTATAGGACAGATTCCTGGAAGTAGAAATGCTATCAGAGGGCCTTTGTACATGTAACATCTTGATAGACATCGTGAAACTTCTCCTCTAATAAGTTTTTACCCATTTATAGCTTTATCAGTAATACACAAACATGTCTGTTTTTAGTATCCTAGCCATGTTGGGCATTGGCTCTGTTTTTAATCTTTGCCAATATGGTAAGTTTAGATGATTTTATTTAAACTTAAATCATAAATTTTCTTTTTTAATTAAAGAAAAGTCAGCATTAGATGATAGTTCTCTGCCATGCCCTTCAGTTAGGTGTTGATTACCCAGAGATAATATAATGGAGTGTTGGTGTGATGTTTCCTCAGTTGCTTAATTTGTAATTAATAAATATTGGAATATTGGCTTGCCTGAAACGTTGGTAATAGTATTTTGGAATTGAGCTTTATTTTCTTATTTAATCCTTGATTGTACCCTGAGCCCAGTCAGTTATATATGCATAATATAAAATGGTTAAGACAGTGTGTGTGTATCAAATGTGAATTTTAGCATAACTGCAATAAAACTTGTGTGACTGTTGATATATTTGCACTTATGTCACTCTGGCTAATCTGCATCAAAGGAAAATCACCTTTTGTTTAATGTTAAGATTTTTATCCTTTTTGGTATTGCTTTCTACAGTGTCTCCTGGGAATTTCTTATTCATTGCTTGCCTGTGCATTGTGGCCGATGGTGGCGTATGTGGTTCCTGAACATCAGCTAGGAACTGCATATGGCTTGTAAGTGTTCGCACCATAATGTCTCTCTCTGCTGTATCAATTTAATTATCATGTAAAACTCTTGGTTTCCTGAATCCAGTCACCTTCAGGTTCCTTGGACAGCTCTGAACTTGGAAATCACTGGAAAAGTCAGTTTGATCTATGGGTGATATTTTTGTGGCAACAGAAATCCTCCACAAGAGAGCTGGAGTTAAGCTAACCCATTAGAAGTGATTTCTGACATTGACTTTGGCTGCCTGTTTATCAGAGGCCTTCTCAATGGGAATTTGAGGCTTGGTCTCTGGCCCAAAAGACAAAAGGGGGAAACTGCAACTGTGGTTGTTATTCACTTAGCTCTTTCTTTCATTCAGCAGGAAAGAATTGAGTTCATACTTCACTTAACAAAACAGACTCCCTTACCTTTGAGCATAACATCTAGTAGTAGAAACAGTTATGGGATAAAAAACAATTCTAATCAGGTCATTCCTGGTTGAAAACATCTTTTAACACTAATAGTATGTCGTTTATAGATACTAATGCTTCAATTGAATTGTTACTCTGTGTGTGAAGACTTTCGAAATTGAAATGTGCTTTTATATTTCTTGAATTGTAGCATGCAGTCCATTCAGAATCTTGGGTTGGCGATCATTTCCATCATTGCTGGCATGATACTGGATACTCGGGGATATTTGTTTTTAGAAGTTTTCTTCATTGCCTGTGTTTCTTGTAAGTGTGTGAGGTGGCAACATTTAGTTTCTTTTAATATGTGGCAGAATGTTTTTATTTATTCTCATTTTCCCTCTTTTAAACCAAATCTCTAAGATATATCTCTTGGATTTGCCTATTTCTTAGTCTGTACATCAGAATTTCCAAGCTAGTGGCTCAGTTCTATGAGGATTCACAAGCATTTTTTTAGGGAGATGGCTATTTTCAAAGGTAGTGGTGGAATCTGCTTCATATGCTGTTTTAAATACAATTTTTAGAAAACATTATCTTCTTTTAAGTGGACCCATTTAAAGGGTGCCGAGTATGTCCCTGGTGTGAATGTGTGGACTTCTGTGTGATTTAGGTGTGAATGCTCATCATTTATTCATTAGGCAGCTTTAAATTGCTTTTATTCTTAGTCCTATAATTTAATTTTTACCTGCAATGATTTATTGGTTAGAAATAGGAAATATTGGGAACTGTTGAAGACTACAAAAATAAACTAGTATATTTCCTGTGGTAGGCTTCACCATACACATAGTTGTATTTATCTGAAAAAAGTTATTATATTACATATCAAGTTGTCTATTATTATGCTTTAACATGTGTTTAATTGGCAAACCCTAGTGATGATTTTTATCAGAATTCATTTATAGGGATTAAAGACAATTTATACTCAAAATGTCGTATTTGTAGATAATTGTTATGAAAAGCTTGAATGCATTGTATTACCTCAAACTTTTAGGATAAGCATGTCATATTTCAAAAACATATTATTTGGTTTTAAAAAGTTGATGATGTAGAATTCACAATACTAGGTCATGAAAGTGTTTTTGTCTGTTTTTGATGATGCAACATGTGGTTTAATTTCAGTCCACAATTCCAGGTATATTTGATTCTCAAACCATGCCATTTAAAAAATGTTTTTGTTGCCATATTAACTTAAAGTAAATTAAGTGTGCCTCGCTTGTTAAGGTAAAAATAGAAGTTCTGACTTTCTGAGGTTTTCCTGGTCTCTGGGTTCCTGGGATTCAAATGACCATGTTCTCATATTTGGTTAATTTGTAAAATGGACATGGTGTTTTCAGACTAGAAAGATTCCTTCTGTTTGATTCTATGTAAAAAGATAAACAGGTGGCTGGCAGGAGTTTTTGGAAGTGTAAGGAAAGACTACTACTTAAAAGGGAAAGGAAAGAGCTACAGGGATGATCCATGGGTAGGTCAGCCCGTTCTGTCTCAGGTTCTTTGTTTCAGGTCTTGCCATCCCTGGGCTCATGTAGCCCATGGGAAAAAAAATGGTGTGTAAATAATTTTTAGTGATTTTTGGAAAATGATGTGAATAGAGTTTTTATTTTTATTTTTACTTTTTTTTTTGAGAGAATGTGAGTGGATGTGTAGGGTAGGAGATTTGGGAGAGGGGAGGGGCAGAGGGAGTAGTGAATCTCAAGCAGGCTCCACACCCAATGTAGAGCCTGATATGGGGCTCAGTATTATGACCTTGAGATCATGACCTGAGTTGAAATCAAGAGTCAGACACTTAACTGACTGAGGTACCCAGGCACTCCAGTAGTGTTTTTATTTTTAAATGCCAGCCAATAAAGATTTATCTAAGTTTTACTTTATTATTATGATTGCATAGGAATCATTGAGAAGAAGTACATGTTTTTTAAGGGCCCTGTGTTTTTTCTACTTCCAGTGTCACTTTTAGCTGTGGTCTTACTCTATGTGGTGAATCGTGCTCGAGGTAAGTAGAATTCAGCCATTTTCTTCTTAAACCACCATAGATCATCTTGTGGGGTCCCTGGATTGTCTGCATGCCTCTTTAGAGGCCAGTGCTTTATTTAGTTCGTGTAATAATGACATTCCATTCATAGTGATAGAAACACAATTCATTATTTAACATATAAATGTATTCTGGAACTTCAGGTTTATTAAAATTGTTGTCATTTTCTTTCTGGCCAGTTTAAGTTATGTAACATACCATTTTAGATTGCCTTTTTTATGTTAGCATAAAGAAGTATGGCGATTTTAAAATAACTTAAAGCCATTATTGTGTTACTGTCTCATATTTTAAAAAATAAGTATACAAATTTATGGCTACAGTTTGCATTTTAAGGTTGAAAGTGTTTGATACAGAATGAGGTGTTACAGAATTTTTCTTTTATTGTATATTCTATATGCATTTGCCCTTTAAAAAAATTTTTTTAATGTTTGTTTATGAGAGAGAGAGAGACAGTGTGAGCAGGGGAGGGGCGCAGAGGGAGAGAGAGACAGAGTCTGAAGGAGGCTTCAAGCTCTGAGCTGTCAGCACAGTGGCTGACGGGCTGGAACCCATGAATTGTGAGATCATGACCTGAGCTGAAATCAGATGCTTAACCAACTGAGCCATCCAGAAGCCCCATTTTCTTTTCTTTTTTTTTTTTTTTATAAGATTTTGATGTTACCCTTATTAATTTTTCTAACTGGCTTGCCCCTAAAGGTTGTTACGTACCTAGAAAAATGTGTGTACCTGCTACTTAAATTATTTTAGGTCATTTCCTTTAATTTCTCCTAATTTTCATTCTTATTGAATAGTTAATATGATGTCCCAGTTAATAAGATGTAATAAAATACCTACATCCAAACTTAAAAAAAAAAAACTCACATTATAGAGTGATATTTGTATTTCTATCATATAGAGATTTTTAAAGTACATTTTTTTTCCCCTTGGGAAGTTTCCAGGAGACAAACTATTTCTTTCTCATTTGCTGTAGCCTTTACTGTTACTTTAAGGTATACCAATGTAAATGTGGTATGTGTGTGTGTGTGTGAGTGGATGTTGGAATTTTACTTTTAATAGCCTTGCAGAAAACGTTCTATGCTTATTTGTGTTACAGGGGGGACCCTAAATTATTCTGCAAAACAAAGGGAAGAAATAAAACTTTCCCATGCTGAGTAAGTATTAAAAGAGAAAAGTTGTCTTTCACTTGCAAATCTCAAACATTAGCATTTTATTTCAAAGTATTAGGTTTGGACTTTTAAGAAATTAATCTTGAGGTTTGAGAGCTAGCTAACAGTGATCTCTGGAACTACTATAACAAAATTCTTCTTTGTTCAGAAAATTTATGTAGGGTGGATGTCAAGGGTTAAAATGAAAGGGAAAAGAAGAATTGGGGCTTTAAATTGCTTTCTGAGAAAGAGAGAGAGAGAGACTGAGACCTGTAGTATTTTAATTTATGGGAGGAAAGGTCTTTGTCCTGAACTCCTATTCTGGGCTTACCCTTCCATTGTCTCTGATGTTTTCCTTTTCTTAACTAGTTGAGATAATTTTTCATCTTCTACTGGTACTAACATTCTGTGTCTTCTGATTCATTTGGAACAGATGAATTATATAGTGTGGTGTTTAAGTTAAATTCATTTTTTCCATAAGTATATGCTAAAACATAAGAGGGATTCTATTTCCTGTTATAATTTCTGATTTTTTAGATATTGAATTTTTTATGATTTAAAAATGTGTTTATAAACCTATACCATGTAATTATAAGTTTTGTGAATTTTAGATAGCTTAAAATCTTGTAGAGCAAAGCTGTTTTTTAGAGAGGTGATTCTTGGCCCTTTCAAGTTCCCTGTTAACATAGTAATTCTACTTCTTGAAATACATTGTGAGAAAATAACCAAAAGTATTACATGTTTTAAATGTCTTTATGACAGTCTTGTTATATCAAACAGTTGGAAAGGACATGAATGTCCCAAGGTGGCGAAATGGTTAAATAAATTATGATACATCTGTATAATATGTTGTTAAAATCATGCTTTAGAAGGATTTTAAAAGTCAAGATGACTTTTTTCCATCCCTGGCCCAAGTCAGAGATACCTACCCTACCAGATGTTAAGTAGACAAAAGATTAAAATACGAACATAATATCTGTTTTGTTCAAAAAAGTATGCAAGCATGTGTATTTCTTACTTATTTACTTGTATATGATGAACAAATACTGAAAGGAAAAACCTCAAATACTAACAATTCCATTTGAATGGTAAGGTTACAGGCATACATTATCCTTTATCCATATTTTCCAAATTTTCTACATTGATCTTGTGTTACTTTTGCCATCAAGAGGAGTTAAGAGATACTCAGCAAAGTGTGCAACCTTTAATAATTTGGCACTACTACATATTTTGTAATGCTGTAGTATTATAAAAACTATAGGTTTTTATACTGTAAACCAGATGAGATCTGTTTTTTTCCTCTCCTTTTTGATAACTTACTGCATTGTGTTTTGCAGATGAGAAGATTAAATGTTTGTCGTGAGATGGGCTGCACACATCGTTGGTTTGAAAACTTCCATTTTTTTTAAATCTAGAGATTAATCATTAGGAAAAATAATGATCTGGAAAGTTATTATATTTATATTTCAAAAACGCCTATTTCAAAGTATACTTGTGATGGCTGTTTTGGCCTGTGTCTTATGAATTGTGTATTGCTGAAGAATTCTACTTTGGAGTGGGCTAATCAACAGTGAAGTTTAGAATGTTCCTCTGGCATATGCAGGTGAACTTTAGTAAGGAGAGTAAATAATGGAAAACCTGGATCTTATATTGAGATAATTTTCAAAAGGTGTGTCTTTAAATCTTAAAGCAAAACAAATAAATAAATAAAGGCTTTTGAGGGGTTGAAGGGATATTTTATACAGAATAAACAATGGCATTTTCATAGGCATTCCCTATTTTGATAGGGGATATTTGAAAGATATTTTTTAATGCACTTTCTTCATTTTCACAAATAGCACGTTGTCTTCTGCTCTCATTAGTTATAAGAGGTTGCTGAGCAGTGACCCCTTTTGAGCTTCTTTATATCTCCATTACTCAGGACCCTGATCACTTAGGAATACAATTTTGTGGTAGAGTTTTCCCCTACAGTCTAATTAATTACTAAACATTATCTTTAAATTATAATAATTTCATATCTATATGGATTAAAACACTGAAAAAGGAATACTTGGTGTCTTTTAAAACTTTTGATTTTTTAAAAAAAATATTAAAACACTGATTTTAACTCTTAATTATTTGGAAGATGATCTCTAAAAAAATCTAAGTTGGAGGGATGCCAGGTGGCTCAGTCCTTTAAGCATCTGACTCTTGATCTTGGCTTAGGTCATGTACTCACAGTTTGTGAGTTTGAGCCCCACATCAGGCTCTGTGCTGATGGTGTGGAACCTGCTTGGGATTCTGTCTCTCCTTCTGTCTGCCCCTCCCCAGCTTGTGCTCTCTCCCTCACTCTTTCTTAAACAAACAGACAAACAAAAAATTCTAAGTTGGAATAAAGGAAATTTGCCTAAATATAGTCTTTAAGTCAGTGGAGCACCTTTTTCTCCAGAGTAGGACCTTAAGTAATATTTATATATTTCAGATTAAATAAAATATGGTTATAAAATTTCTTTGACAAGCTTAAATACTTTTTAACTTAGTCCTAGCATATTATATGTTAAAGTTGAGAAATTTTTCATGTGATTTGCTTTTCAGGGACATGCAGATATTTTAGACAACTACTAAACTGTCATATTTAGCTAATTATATTGTTTAAATACATGACATTTTATGCTTGAAAGTTCTTGAACAGATTGAAAATGCATTCCTGATTCAAGTTGTTTATTTACACTCATTTTTTTTCTGATTTAGAGTTTATTGTGTCATTGTTCAGTTGTGAGTTCTTTAGGTTTTGACTGCCCTGTGACTGTTCTAGCCCAGATCATTGAATGCTGGCTTTCTCAGTTGGTGAGAGTAGAGGAAGCCCGCTGCTGCTGTTGCTGGAGGGTTTGTGTGGTCCAGCCCTTGCCTTACTCTTTCTGCCACCTCTGTGCCTCAGCCACAGTGAGCTGCTTAAGTACATTTTTTTAAATGGGTCATGGTCCTTCCCTTTTCAGGGGCCTTGTCCATGCTGCCTTCTCTGCCTAGAATATTTAAATCAAAATTCTCCACGATTTGCTTTCGCCTCATTTACAACAGGAAACCTTAGCACCAGCTCAGAACCATTCTTCCTGTGGAAACTCTTCCAGACCCTTCAGACTATATCAAGTTCTTTTCAAATTTCTGTCATCTTTGAAAAGCCCTGTAACGTTTTCCATCTTAGCTTACCTCAGCTTATAATGAAGAATTTGTGATAGTGGGGGTGTGGTTATCTACCTCTTCCTTTAGATTGTAAGCTCCATGAGGGCAGGGACTGTGTCTATTATGTTATGATTGTGTCAATAGTGCCTAGACAAAGTAGGCACAAAATAAATATTTTTTGAATGATGCATAAATAAAGAGTAAAACGGAATAATCTTTTTTTGGTGGACAAATTGGCAGTATGAATAAAAAGACCTAAAAAAGATGGTGGTGGGTCCTGTGCCTTTTGGCTTAGCAGTTTCATTTCTAATAATTTATCCTAAGGAAACCATTATACACGTACACACATAAATGTCTTTTAAGAAAGTATTTTGATCACGAGATTGCTTATAATAGCCTAACATAGGAAACTACTCGTGTTTATAAGAGTAGAAGTTTTGTTAAGTACATTGTATCATACACTTAGAGTGAAATATTAAAGCAGTCATTAAATGGATTTGTTAGAGAGCATTGACATGGAATGATGGCATTATCACATGAAGATTGAGTGCTGCTGTTTTTGTAAAAACACACAAACGTGTCTGAAGGTTGTGTATGTAAATGTTTCTGGGTGATTATTTTGGCTTATTTGTATTTTCTAATTTTTCAACAGTAAACATTATATAATAAAAATTTTTTAAAAACCTACAAAAAAAATTTAGCACAAGTTTGAGTTCTACTTTTGAGGAAAGTGGAAGTTGGTGTTCAGAAGGGAGAAAGGGAATAGGTACCGTTTCCCAAACAACTTCGGGGATGTAGGTGGGAGTTAAACAGGGCTCTGAGTTAGAAATAGAATTTGCATTGACAGGAAGAAAATTGAATGTGAAGGGAACCTTGAGAGACGGAATAGAGAATGGGGTAAAGGCTAATGAAATAATACACATTCTGGTCCCACCAGTGGCAAAGAACAGCTTCAGGTTGTCTGCAAGCTCCGCATGATTTCTGGAATGCCTTAACCTCAGTTTCATACCCCTTGGCTTCTTCCATTTGCATGTTCTTGGAATGCACCATGGGGAAATTTAATTTAGGTCCTGAATACAAATTTGCTACCTAGAGGTTAATGGGGAAAACTTTGATGTTTTGTAAGAAATACTGAAATGTCCTTGACATCATGCAGGTAGGCCAGACAACCAAACTTATTGCATACTTTTACCACTTACTCCCCTGAGGTATTATGTATAAGGTCATGTACTCAAGCACACATTTCTTTCCCCTGTGGGTCTTTATCAGTCCCACATTTTGGCAGAGGCCCTGCGTAACTCCCTCAACTCCTAAAAGGATTTTTTTTTTCCCAGTAGGTTTGACTGCAAATCAATTGTGTAATGGAAAATCAGTGGACCTATGAGACATTCCATTTGGGATTAGTGTGTACTTTGTAGAAGTTTGCCTTTTTGAAGATCACCTTCTATGCTTGTCTCCCAAGCTTTATTAGGTTGTAGTTTTCTGTGCTTCCATTTTCTGATTAGCGAAACGGAGTTATCACTAGAATTCTTTCTAGCACTCACGTACTTAATGTGTGAAACATACAGATATGGTTGATTGCCACTTGTTAGATGTATATTCATTGATGGATGACCTGAAACACTGTCAAGGGAAATATCTGTCCATTCTTTGCCTTTAGTTGATGGGTTGGAGAAGACAGGCTGCCCTGTGATTATGCTCAGATTCCTTTGGGAACTCTGGCAAATAAATGGAGCAGGACACAAGGTGAACCCTCTTCTCTTTTCCCCCCTCCCCAATCCAATAGAGCCCAGATTTCACATGGGTATGGTGGATAAGAAGTGGACGGTTGATGGAGTGAGGTGGGAAGAGGGTGAGAGGGAGGAGAATCTGGGCTTGAACAGCCACTGATCTGGGAGAGAAATGGCTGGGACATATGTCCCAGGCTGGGACACAGAAGGGGCAGGTGGGCCTGGAGAGAGATTATCTCAGATTTGAGAGTCACTGCTCATGAAATGGAGAGTGTCAAAGGAGAAATAAGTGTCCTCTTTGGGTACTAGTGGGGTCTGGAAGGTGGAACGCAGGCTCGGTGGATGGAGAGTGGGAGGATGGGCCTAAGAGGGCAGGTGTACTTAATGGATGTTTAGAAATATTTTCCATAGCTTTAGTTTTATTTTAAAGTTCTCTGAATTTTAATAGAGATTTGTGTTCAGGCTACCACAATTAAGATACAGAACAAACAATTCCTCAGTTACCATTTCAAAGGAAAAAAATACTATGATATATTAAGGTAAAGTACACATGTTCCCTTCATTTAAGAGTTGTCTGGTTTATTATTTTTTTTTCTTTTATAGTTTATTGTCAAGTTGGTTTCCATGTAACACCCAGTGTTAATCTCAATGTTTGATTTATTTTTTTAACACTTCAATTGCTAAACTGCTTTTCTAGTTTGATGACTACATAAATATGTAAAGTTTTCATGATCATGTTACTTAAGTTAATATGCTGTACTTCATAGACTACAATATTTCACCTTTGACATCTCTGAAATTGGGACATATGTGTGATACCATCTTATAATTCAAAGAAAACCAGTTGTGGGAAAAACCAAGCAGGACGCTAGAATAATGTGATGATGCTTGATGATGTGAGATATGCACAGACTTCTGTGTCATCACTTATTTCTGGCATCACTGAACCTAAAGCTCTTCAGTAGGGGTGGCGATTCAGAGATGTGGAAAATGTAGACCATCCCCCTCAAAGGTTGCATAGATGCATAGGGTAAACAGACAAAGGCTCAGTGATTCTGATTGTGATACAGTGTGATGAGCAGTGTCCTAGAGCAATGGCTAATGGGGTTCAGAGGATCTAGAATACTTCCAAGATTCCCAGAGGAGATGGTCTTCGATCTGTATCATAAAGAATGAGTAAGATAATTCACTTAAGTAGGGAAGGAGTGGGGCAAGAATGGGGAGGACAAGAAGTCCCATAGCTAATGCTGGGCGAGCTTGCTGGTTAATGAAATGGAGTGAAGGGGTGCGCCAGGAGTTGAGCTTGAAAGTTATGTTTGGTACAAACATCATTCCATGTTTGGCGTGATGTTAATCCTGAAGGAAAATGGGAGGAGTTTCTTTTGGGGGCGGGGGGAGATTTTTCTGTTGGGGATTAAGATAGGGTTTGCATTTCAGAAAGATGACCCTAGAAGCAGAAGGAGGGAAATGAAGTAGAGTTTGAGGGGACCAAATCTGGAGTCAAGAGGACGTTTAATAGGTTGGAGCAATGAAGCTTACGAGAGTAATGAGGACTTGAACTAAGGCAGTGGCAGGGAAAATGGGAGAGGAGAGCGCAAGTTCTAGTGATGCTTAGAGGCTGAACTGACAACATGATCATGACATGTGAGGTGGGGGAGAAGCTGGGATTGAGGATGACTCCCAGATTTCTGGCTTGAATGGACGGTGGTGCCATTTAACCAAGAAAGAGCAGCCAGGTTGTAATGATTTGGAGTAGGAATCCAAGGTAGAAATTAGAATAAAAAAGGTAGCCTACTATTACAAGAAACTAGCTCATAGCAAATCAGAGAACATGAGATGCTGGCGAGGATGTGGAGAAATGGGCACACTCCTACACTGTTGGTGG